CTGGGGGAGGCGGCCGCAGGAGGGAGCCGGCGCTCGAGGGCGTGCTCAGCAAATACACCAACCTCCTCCAGGGCTGGCAGAACAGGTAAAGTGCCCGCCGCTCGCGCCACCGCGCGCCCCTCCCCGCGCGCCGCTCAGTGTGTGTGTGAGTGTGTGCGCGCGCGATCGTACCACCGGCCAGCGGGGTGCTGCCACCGCAGGGGCGCTCTTCCTGCGTTCCTGCTCTTCTCCAGGTGGGGTGCCCGGGATGGGGAGCGCCATGACCCCACCCCAAGGCTGCACCGCATTGGCGGAGAGGAAGGCGAGAGCCCTGGTTTTCTTCGGTACTGGCACATGCAGGGACTGGAGTGGCAGGAGGAGCGCGCTGGTCCCGGGCCCTGCCTGCTAGCGGTTTCCCGCACCCCTGAAGAATGGTTGAGAAAGGGAGGCAGGCAGAGGGGACGTGCTTTGTGCCTGGATGAAAAAACGTTACTACATCTGGTCCCATCACGGCAATTGTCTACATAACATAGTTTATTTAAAAGTTTGGTCTTTAAAAACACCACCACCACCAACAAAAACCTGCCACTTGTCCTCGGCGCCTTCCAGCACAGCATGCTACCTACTCTCTGCCCAGTTGGTGGCTTAGAACCTCCGCTCTCTGCAACCGAAGTTTAGTTAAAAAAACAATAACCTTCTCCTCTTTCAAAATGAGCGGTTTACTATTTAAATAAAAATAATAATAGTAGTAGTAATTTTTACCCTTTAGATGCCTTTAAAGTTCCCTGCTTACTACCCTCACAGTTGGCAAGCCTAGTTGTGGACACGTGACAGGCTGGGGGTGTCTAGGGAAGGGGCTCCCAGAACACTTAGGGTGGCAGTAGTGTTGGACTTTGGTAGTAAGAATAGTGAGGAAGACTTGAAAGAAGCAGATATGACACTGATGTTTACATTTTTTAACTTGGTTTTTAAAAACAAGCCAGAAGGAAATACAAATGGCCATGTGAGGAGAATGGGGCTTTTTGGGGAGGTGGCTGATGAGATCTTTTATCCTGCCCTTAGTAGGCTTGGGGTTCTTAGGTATGCTTGTGAGATCTGAATCATACCCTTGCTCATCTCTGCTGGTTAGGGTAGATTACTTGGTCATCT